ATATTTATTAAGAATAACAAAGTAATTGTGTAAACTGTGAAAAAAGAAAACAAAAAAATCCTGCCCCAAGTGGAGTTTAAGTATCTCAGGGTCTTGTTCCCGGGTGATGGGAGTAGGGAGCGGGAGATCGACAGGCAGATTGGTGTTGCGGCTGCAGTGATGCGGATGCTGTTGTGGTGAAGAGAGAGCTGTCTGTAAAAGCAAAGCTCTCAATTTACCGGTCGATCTATGAAGTTGTGGGTAGTGACAGAAAGAACGAGATCGCGGATACAAGCAGCAGAAATGAGCTTCCTATGAAGGGTGGCTGGCCTCTCCCTCAGAGATAGGGTGAGACCTTCAGCCATCTGGGAGGAGCTCAGAGTAGAGTAGCTGCTCCTCCACCTCGAAAGGAGCCACTTGAGGTGGTTTGGGCATCTAACAAGGATGCCTCCCAGAGAGGGAGGTCTGGGCTTCTGTACTTAGGCTGCTGTCCCCGCGACTCGGCCCCGGATAAGTGGAAGAAGATGGATGGATGATGAAAAACAAAACAAAAAATCCACATAAGATCTAGATAATAATAGCTACAAGGTGAACATCACCTTCTGGGATTCCTCTACTGTATTTAACATGAGCAGCTTCTACTGAGACAGAAGCCACAGGAAATCTCACTAAACACAGCGTTTATCTCATGGATCACTGCATACCTGACAGGCAGGCTGCAGTATGTGACACCTGGTGGCAGTCTGCCTTCTGTCATTGAAATTCTATGTGGGTTCTACAAACGTTGGGTGTTTGTCAACAAGCAGACTGGAATCTTATGAATTCAACCCAGTATTAAATGCAAACACACCACAGAAACTGGGACGTGTGGGAAACAGAAGTGTAAGCTGAGATTCATTAGAGGCACGGGGACACACACACACACACACACACACACACAACAATGGCCAACCCTCCTTTTTTGCATTTCAGGATAATGAAACCTTAACTCAACACACTCAGTGTTCTCTCACACTTTACTTTTCACACACTTTTGACTGCTTTTTCATCCTATGACCAGCAGAGGACAGTCAGAGGCAATGAAATTATGCCACCTTGCACAAAGTGGAAACTTAAACGCTCTGAGTAAAAACATTTTCTTAAATAATTCCCACACTTTCCTATAATTGCCCAAAATATCAGATGGATGGGATTCATATTTAATCATAAAGTCTAAGAAAAATGTGAATATTGTTACCTTAGAAACATCATTCTACAACTAGTTTAAAATTGTAGTAGTTTTGAGTTTTTCTCAGCACAGTCCTGACGAGTTGTGCGAGTGTGAGAAACTTAACCTGGAAAAGCCTCACGTGATATGAAAACTAGCTGACAATAACACACCCATACAAAATGACAGGCATGCACCAGACAAACTGGAAGGACCAGCTTTCAGACACAACCACACCTAGAACTACAAGAGAAAGCTAATCTGACCGAGACATCAAGATACGAAAGCGCTATCAACTGCACAGTGTTAAAATGAAACAGAAGCCGAGTTTTATTGGACAGTCAAAGAAAACAACCATCTGCGTATGTGAACGACAGACTTTGAGGCAAACATCTTCTCGATTTATCATTAAGAAGGAAAAAAAATTATGTGATGTGGGGTTTTTTTTTTGAACAAGCAAAATGAAATGTAGAAAATGCAGAAATGACGCCAATTTTATTAACTGGCATCAGTTATGCAACGACGCTCTCGTCTTACCCGTTCTTCTTTGGGGTTCTTCCCATGTTTATGACGGTCTGCAGCCTCACGGCCATCTTTCTATACAGACGTGGAAGAATATGGCTGAGCACACTTGAATCAATGCCTTACAACAACAGCAATATTTCCCATTAGAAGATACTTACTGGTAGATCAGTGGCATTGTCCAGATACACTGCAAGCATAGCACAGGCAAGGTTGTCGGTGGACTGGAAGAAAGTGTTGGAGAGGGAAAAATAATGGGATTTATGGAGCAGCTGAGCGCAGTGCACATCCCGCCGCAGCTTTTAGTTCAAAGTAAAATGTATGAACGCGAGACTGAAGAAACACTGGGCTGCTGTACCTCCTTCATCAGGCTGGTGTCAGTCTGAAGGGAAAACCACTGGAGCTTAAGATGAACTTCACCGTGCTGTATATCCTCCAGAGCAAACCACTGGGAGAATAAAAGGATGTTTCAAAAGCTTTAATGTAAATACAAAACTATAGAAAATAGTAACACATACAAGAGCATTTGATAAGACATGTTGTGTTATAGAGATTACTGAGCTTATTCAGGATAAAAGAGCGCACCTGATCCATTTGTTTTCCCTTCTTCACTTCTCCCAAATCGAGGTTATATCTAAATAGATGTAAAATAAAAACATAATGTCAATAATGCGTCACAACTGCGTGTTTATATCACTTTCATAGCTACAAATCCACTGATGTCAATGACTCTGGGAAGGACTAATACAAGATGATTGATGCTATCCACAGATTCTGTCCAATACGATTTTCTGACCATAAAAAAAGACCTCAACAGTTTCAAACTGTTGCCTGGTTCTTAAAATGCACTGAGGCAGACGTGGCTCTGCACCAGTACAATCTGAGGCAATGTCCCCCTTTGCCCGGCTGGCGGGATGACAACAACAACCTATCAGCCTTTTACTGATATCAGCAGAGGGCTAAGAACCAAAGAAATCATAGGTAACACAAAATGGCACAAGTATGCTAAATACCTTCCAAGAAAATCATCTTTGTCTGTGTCCTCATCATAGAGCTCTAATTCCAGCTCTTGGCCCGGCGCTTCATGGACAACAAACTGCATAAAAAAAACAAAGATATCTCAAAATGTCTTTCAAGTTTAATGAGTCTGACTTCTTAGAATATTATGGGTAAGGTTTTTAGTAGATTACTTATAGAAAATGGGATATTAGATACTAATAAAATGTAATCTTCAAATAATGAGTTAATGTTTTTTACAAGCAAAAACAAGCATCTCTGTCTTCAATAGCATGATGCAGACGAGATTACAGTGTAAGAAAAACGTCTGTGTTAGGATGATCGCATCAAATCTGCACAGGCCATCTGCTCAACCATCTCCGAGTTACGTACAAATTTTAACATATACAATGATTCTTGAAAAATTTTAGCTTTGCATATCAGATACTTTTCAATATATATTTTTGGGAAAATGGTCTGTTGAGCCACTGTCAGGCCTTTTTGTGTACAATCTGAGGCAATGTTTGAACATGAATATATCTCAAAGACTGTTAAAGATAAAAGCCTAAAATGTTATCTTGTCTGTCCTGCGTAGGTGTGGCAGAGGAGACAGGTGCGTGCTGTGACTGACGACTGTCGCTCTCTCTATATATCTGGGGATGGTGGAGATGGTGGGGATGTGAGTGTGCAGTGGAGGAGCTGAGGAAGGAGCGGCCTCCTGATGCAAGCGTGCCTTCATATATAATAAAACATCAGCACAGCAAAGACCTTTGTGTGCGTCGGGTCCTTACCACAAAAAGAAGAGAAAATACTTTTGATAAATATCTGCAGTTAAAAAATGTTTTAAAATCAATTTTGAAAAAAATACTGTTGAAAATGATTTGATGTGTGAAGCAAAACTTTCACAGCTTTCATTAATAAGTTCAAAATGTTTTAGGCAGATCAGAGACGGTTGTGCAGAAATCGTTCTAAAAACTAGCTGATTTGAGCTGATATCAAGTTTGTCTGAGAATTAAAAGAGGGACAAAAACAGCAGAATCAAATAGTAATCCCATTACTGAAATCAAAGTGCGTGTCACTGAAGTGTGTTTGTGTTAGCCTACCTCATACACTTCATTCCATTTTGGGTGCAAATTCTCTTTGATGGTCTTGCTTTTGAAGTGTATGTTGCCCACTCTGAGTGTGGCATAGGGGTCTGATTTGCCTTTCACTAAACCCATCATGTATGTATCCTTAGCCACCAGATCTCTTGCCTCCAGCAAGTGGACCCTCACCACCCCCTAGGAAGAAAAAGCACATGATTCATATTAATGATAGAATCCTTGTATAATTAACAAGTAAAAATAGGTTAAAAGAGCAAAAAGTATACATATACAATGTATGTTGTCTTAAAATTCACTGTGCTTACTCAAAAAATCCAAGTAGCTGCTGGTTATAAGGTGAAGCTAAATGTGTGAATTGGAAATGTGATGGTACTTACACGAGGAAGTGGAAACCTCATTTGGTCCATTTTGACCTGGTCTATGAGGGGAATACACATGCGGTTGGGCAACACCATGAGAGAAGCGATGATGTCTACGATAGTCTCCTCTGACAGTGAACTGTAAGGCAAAAGATGGAGTGAGACAAATAAATATCAAAAAGTCTGGATGACCCTAAAGAGACAACAAGAGAATGATTCAATTTAAAAGCACCGCTGGGATTTTCTTACCCGAAAGCAGGGCTGTCCAGAACATTTGTCATGCCAGTCCAGTTTATTTCCAGTGTCTGAAAAAAAATCAATTGGAGATCAATTGGAGATTTAAGCAATGTTAATCACATAACGGATTAAAATCTGTGGCCACTTACAGGGCGGCGAATGAAGAAAAAAGTGACTCCTCCCACCAGAGGTGCTTGACCAATAAGAGGCTCTAAAACAACTCTCATCATCCCATGGAGCTGGAAGATTTAAAGAAAGTTTTAGAAGAACAGTAAGAACATGACGCAGATAGATAGAGAGAAGACAGAAAAATGAGATGCTCACTTTAAGTCCTTTCACACCAGCTGTGATTGCTGAGTTCACCTGAGCATCGATGTCCACATCACCAGAATAACTGCAGAGTGAACTGAGCTGGTCAGACATAAATGATAGCAAGAGAAAACAACATGCAGACTACTTGGAATTTACATTTTAAAAATGTATTTGACCGACCTTAAGTTCATGTCCAGAATCACTTCCCTATGTTCCACTTCATGTGTGTACGCTCTTATTCCAGTGATCTTGAGAGGCTGAAAATAAAGAAGCATTTAAAGAAACTCACTCAGTCACAAAACTCATTGCATATTAAAGTGGACTTGAAGCAGTACAAAAAGGAATGGTGCATAAATCACAGCAACTCACTACGTGTCCAAAATGGATCTTGGTAAAAGTAAATGCTTTGAGTGCAGTACTGCAGGTCCTGACAGACTTCTGGATGTTTTCTCTTAATAACTTCTCCATGTAGATCCCAAAGAAGGGCCACGCCTGCTCCAACACCTGAACACATAACAAAAAACACCATGTGGAAACACCTTGATCAAACAGTAAATGGAATCGTACTTACAGTGTACTTTTAAATTAGGTGAACTCGAAAAGGCATATAGTATTAAACTTTTGTTTATCATTTCAAAGTCACAGCCAATTAATACGATTTTTTAACAGTAATTAAATGAAAGATCGTCACTCATTCAGTCTGCTTTCAGCTAATTTATCAATGAACCCCCCCAGAGTGTTGATGGGACACATACTTGGTGTCATACCTCATAAAGCTCAGATGAGGTGGAGTAAGTGAACTTCAGTACTATACCTTGTTAAGCCACTGTGCCTTCTCCACATCAGTGAAATTCACCTTTAGGAAAAAATAGATTAAAGTTAGAAGTGGTTTTGTAAACATAATCTCCGTTGAAACTGTCTGCACAACATGCTGACATGAAGAGTGCAGAAGATGAATTACTTATTAATTATACAATGTAATTATAGAATTAGTCGTGCAAATCTAATTAATTTAAAATGAACTCATCCAACTGCTTTAAAAGGAGAATTCGGGTGTGCTGTATTTAAAATATGTCTTGCATGAACTGAGACTTTGATTTAATTGTCATCAGGGGCTCTGTCATCAGCAAGTTTCATGGTCATGGACACGCGAACAGATAAGCCTGTAAGACACGAACTACAGCCATCAGTAAAATCTGACCTGGTTTCACAGCCACTGTGCGTGCTGAACTCCTGTAACATTAGAAGAAACCTCTTTCATTGTCTGTCCTAACCCTTGTTGCGTGCCATGAGTCACTCTTTTGGGTGAGTGTGGTGCAATAAAAAAATGGACCAGCCTGAGTGTGTCTTGTTATGCAAAACAGTGCAAGAGAGAACGATACTATTTCCTACAGTTTTAAACAAATAAATGACATGGTAGCTTCTTCTACGATGACTGGAGAGCTGCTGACCTGAAAGGCTTTGCTGCCAGGCTGCTGAAGTGCTCTAAAGCAAAACAGACGCAGAGCGATAGTTTCTTACTGTACACATATTTACACATAACCTACCCAAGATGCCATTTGTAGGGAACCTTTCAGCTCGGTGTTGATCGTGTGCTTTTCATTGTCCACAAAGTCAATAGCCGATCCGATCCGGGCGTCCTTCCACTGACGATTTTTCTTCCACCAAGTGAGCACAAACATACACAGCAGCACCCAGCTAATGCTGAGGCCCAGGTAACCCGTCAGGTATACGGGGTAGAAGATGAACACGGCCCTCCCGCAGTAAATCAGAAACTCCATTAACATGCGATTGACAGCCGAGGAGCTCAGTTTCTCAGTGCTCATCGACGGGCTCTCCCCGAGCCCCGCTCCCTGCACCGGGCCGGTGGTACTCCCCGGTCCGGGAGATGCCATTGGGTCGTTGTACGGCTGACGACTCGGGTCGGGAAGTCCAGAAAACCTGTGTAGGCGCAGCGCCCGAACAAGATGCTGTTTTGCGTATTTCGTTTTACAGAGCAGCTAAACCAGTCCGCCGCACTCTCCCTGCAACCATGACAGTCCTACAAACTTCCGCGTTCGAAACTTCCCATGGCAGGTAGACACACCTGCGCCCATGGGTGGGGAATACAGTCAGCTTAATTTAAAAAAAATAAAAATAAAACTCCACCCTAACTGTGGAGCCATATATTAGATTTTTGACTTTACTTGATGGCCACAGCCATTTTCATCCTTTTAGCAAAACCCACTTCCACCTGTTCTGCCAAATTTGACCTCTGTTCCTTTCACCTACATCTCCACTGAAGGCTGTTCCAATCATCACTTTCTCCCCCTGAAGACACACTGACAACATTTAGCATCAACCCTTTGATTTCCAGCCTGAAACCCATGATTCTGTCTGACAATTAAAAAAACTAAAACTAAAACTCCACCCTAACAATAAACAAGAAAAAAAACATAAGCGTGGCTTTTGCGCACGCGCACACACATAAAGAAAAATCATTTTCAAATGGCGTGCACTCTTTCACTCTTTGGCGAACAGCGCAGCAGAAATCCAGATATAATAGTGCAGTGACTCACTGTGTGCTGCAGATAGCGCCAGAGTGCAGGCTACACCAGAGACTCTGATTTAAATAAAGCTCTGTGATGGCAACTGTGATTTCCCTCAGTGGTTATCAAACCGCGGGACACTAACAGCGGACAGGGGGAGAAAAATGACCATTCTAAAGGCTCATGAGTGACAAGGCCCCTAGAAAACAGCCGAAGAGTCAAACTGTCATTTTTAACACGCGCTGCTACCTAACAGTAGGACGGCTCCTTAAAAGGAAAATCTGGGCTTCAAAAGCAACAGGTAAGAAATTTACCTCATAGCGAAGTCCACATGAAAGAAACTGCTTGACTTTCCCGGTGTTAGTTAGCTTACTTCATTTCTAACAAAAAAATAATGTTTGGCTTGTTTTACCTAACATCAGTGCAGACAGACCATTTGTAAGCTTCTACGTACAAATGATCACTTATCTGACGACCTCCTGCTAGGCCAGGTGTACATTAGAACTGAAGAAGCTTCTCGGATGAGAGGTGAAACGTCTTCAAGCAACTTAAAGAAGTCCAGACGCCTTTCTTTGCAAGCTCCTTTGACTACGATGACCTGGATGACTGAGAACCTTCACAGACATATTAAGTAATGTTCTGGATTTATTTTCCACGCTGCCTGTTACAGGTGGTGAGAACTTTCAGTTAGCTCGTTTAAAACCTATTTGAGTTCCACTCGATCTTAGGACAGAGATGTATTTTAGTTGGCTATCCTTTGTTTGAAAATTGATATTCAAAGAGTGTTTTAAGTAATATTTCAGTACTGCCAATACTTAATATTAGAAATAAAAATGTTTAAGCATTAAAAAAATACCACAAATCTCACTTGTCTCATGTGTCTAATTTCGATATAGAAGTTACACATTAGGTCAAACCTGACAAATTTCTTTCACGGAGGTGGATAGTGGTTACTGATAAACAGGGCTTACATTTTAACTGTTATGAGATGCATTTATTATGATGAGAAATTAATTTCTGAAAATGTTATTTTATTTGTAATTTGGGCTACTGACAACTTGACAAAATTAAAAATCTGTCAACCCAGCATATAAGCAATTCTATACTTAATTCATGTTATACTAAAAGATGTGGGGGGTTTTCATACCTAGAAAATACACAAAATTTGTTCTAGATTTAATTTTAAAGGTTAGTTTAGTTTTAGCATATAAGGCCTTTCCATCTCCCCTGAGCAGAACAGTTCATCTCCTCTCGTAGGATGGGCAAGCATTCAAATGTTTGTCCAGAAGAAATGTTATGACTGACTGTGATCCTAATAAGGATTTTGGTATAGAGTTAAGGCAAGCAAGACCAAAAAAGTAAGTTTAAAGACAGATTTAGGACAGAGTGATAAACCTTTCCATGGATTCAGATGGATACACAGCTACACTCACAACATGTGACAAGTTAAAGCTGGATTAGTTTAATTCAATTCAGTTTTATTTATATAGCACCACATGGCAGCAGCAGTCACCTCAAGTTGCTTTGGAAGGTAAAGATCCTCCAGTGATACAATACTGAAGAGGTAAAAGCAGAAACAGAAGGTGTAGAGTTTAAAATAGGATTTTATTTCTTTTCAGTCTTTCTTTGATAACCTTAAACTGTATGTTTAATCAACACATACAAACACATAAAAAACACAAAAATCTTCTGTACTTAAAATAGAAGACAAAAAAAACCTGTGCAGGGTTTATAATGCCTAGGAGGCGAAAAGAGTAAAATAAAGTTGGACTTTGGGTGGAGACCTCCATGCTTTTGAGTTTTTGTGTCTCAAGATCAGGGGCATCTATCTCCTCCTGTGACCATCTTATGTTTTATTGTTTTCTCTATTTTTCCTGTATTCCTGTAAAGCACCCCTCTGACAGCCAAACCCATCTGTTCTCTGGCTGGATTGTTAAATTTGTGATTGACATGACATTGACCAATCAGCTGAAAGGAAGAAAAATCAGGTCAAAATTCGTAGTTGCACATTGAAACACACACAGCCAGGGAACTCGAGTGCAGAGTTTTACATGTAATTTTTTGATTTGTCTGTAAACAGACCTTAACAAAAAAAAAAAAGTGTAACGTGTAAATATTTTTTTTTACAAGCACACAAATTATCATCTATAGATGCACAAACACAAGATTTTCAGATATTTTGGTTTACAAGGTTACAAAACTCTGATGACCACAATGTGAGCCAATAAAGGGCTCAAATTTCATTTCATTTCATTTCATTTTTATTTATTTCACACTTGGTACTACAAACAAAACAACCACATCTTCTATCAACAAAACACAACAACCATGTGTGAATGATTTTGAACTGTGGACCATGCAGAGCTAGTCTAATAGAGTCAAAGAATAAATACATGGAGTTAAAAAGTAGCATAATGGGCTCACTTTTATGATGTAAGTTGATTATGTCTCATAATCTTGTTCACTGGCTCGCCTCTGTCAGTGCGCCTCAGGGCGGCTGTGGCTACACTGTAGCTTGCCATCACCAGTGTGTGAATGTGTGTGTGAATGGGTGGATGATTGTGTATAGTGTGAAGCGCTTTGGGGTCCTTAGGACCAAGTAAAGCGCTATACAAATACAGACCATTTACCATTACTTGAATGTAATCAAATACTCAGGACAAGCCTGGGTGTCATGGAAGACAACAAACATGGTGGGATTGGCAATGTTGTCCACAACACTGTCGTACAGGTCAGTGGATCCGAGTTTTTTTGCTGGTGGTGTAACCATGCCTTTCTGTCCAAGAGTGAAGTCACCAGTCAGAACTCGGCAGACGTACATAAACTTTTCCCCGTTCTGATTTGGCTTGGAGTAGGTGTCATTGGCAGAATAACTAGCATTGACAGCAAAGTATGTGCCATTGCCATATAATGCAGCTGAAAATGAAGAGCAGCAGAAAGTCAACGGAAAAACTCTTTGACACGCTTTCTCTTATTCCTAGTAGTTGCACCAGTCTGAAAATCAAACACTAAATCCTCTCAAACTTCCATAACCTCACATTGAGGTTAACCTCACATTAAACTCACACTAACAGAGAGTAGAAAATATTAACATCCAGTCTTTTATGTCTGATACAAAAACAGAGTTTATTTCTGTGTGCTTCTGCTAATAGTAAATCAAATTAACTTGTAGTCAAAGACATAGAAATATGTTGCCAACCAATCATTATACATGATTCTGAATAAGAGAAATGGTATTATTAAGTGCTGTTGAATACACAACTGAAAGTTCATATGCGGTGTATTTATTGACAAATTTTGTTAAGTATAATATGGAAAAGAAGAAGATGTAAGGAAGTGCTTTCAACGAAATAACCACCGCCTAAGTTAAAAGAGACTGAAAGGTTGAAGATGGAGAGGATGATAGAGTGTGGCTGGATATATGTAAATGACAGACAGGAGGAGAGAGAGAGGCAAATGGACAAAAGAGTATAAAGAAGGCGGCTCGGAAAATGCGGTAGTTTTTTTTTCCTCTCTGTCTTGTGATGAGCAGAAGACATCATCTGAAGATTCAGTCCTCGGTTTCCACAGATAGAAATTACAGCAAGTACACCGGAGGGGCAGCCACAACCCAAACACTGTGGACCCATATATTCGATTTTTGACTTTACTTGGTGGCCACAGCCATTTTCATCCTTTTAGCAAAACCCCCTTCCATCTGTTCTGCCAAATTTGACCTCTGTTCCTTTCACCTAGATCTCCACTGAAGGCTGTTCCAGTCACCACTTTCTCCCCCTGAAGACAATATCAACCCTTTGATTTCCAGCCTGAAACCCATGATTCTGTCTGACACTCTCTTCCCCTCCACAACAGTATTCACATTCTCTCCCTTCAAGATTATCCATACTCTGTTTCATTTCCTTTCAATATCATTGTAGCACAGCTTGAATCCACCTCCGGTGCTCCTGACCTTGCTTCCCTTCCGCCTGGTATCCTACACACAATATATATCTACCTTCCTTTTTGCCCATCATATCAGCTAGCTCTTTCCTTTTACCAGCCACAATCCCAGTACTTATAATCCCTATTCTGATCTCCGCATTCCCACCTTTTATTGTCTCTCACTGTCTTTTAAAATATTTATTTTCAGCATTGTTCCTTGTGCAAGTTTTCTCCACATTCTGTGTATTCCATTCTTTCTGTAGTCTAAAGCTGATTTTGAAAAAGTGTGTTTATGGCCAACTCTGTAACTCTCGGTAGCATTAAGATCAAACTGAAAACAATTGGCACACTGACACATCCCCCACCCACAAATATCTCACCATTCTTTCCTGCATAGCTCCTGTTGAACCCACGGTCATTAATATTTGGCACAGCTCTGTCGCAGGTACCATGGAAAAGACGTCTCTCGTTATTCTGATGACCATTTCTCAACTCCATCTCACGCTTCTTAATCTCTAGACTCTTCCACAATCCAGGGTTCTGGATCCGCTCAATCTGAGAGGAAGAAAAGTGCTTTTTTGTGTAGTCTGATGTAGATTTATGTTAACTGCTTTTATTGGCTTTCTTGTGAAACAAACTTTTTAAAAAAAGATTTAAAAAAAAAATGTTTAACA